ACTGAGGCAGGAGGCCAGGCGGACAGTGTAGCCCCAGTAGAGCCCGGCTCTGGTTCGAGGCTCCTGCGATGATACAACCGTGCCCCGGTAGGTCTTGCATTCTGGAGAGAACACAGGCTGTGAAGACGACGCAAGGGGCTGGGGACACAGGGGCTGAGTCCTGAGGCTGGCCAGGCCATGGCAGCGGCCAGGGACACCTCCGGCTACCTGGAAGCTGCGTTGGGTTCAGTCTCACAGTCACCCGGAGTCCAGGCTCCAAGTTCTTGTCGATCTTCACCTCCTGGGGAGAGGCCGGAAAGAAATGGGTGCTGTCCTCACATGGTCAGCAGGGGTCACTGCTCTCCGAGACTGTGGAGATGGGGACTGCAGGCCTGGGCCCCCCACTCAAGGCCACTGGAGCAGCCCCCTCACAGAAGACCAATTGCAACAGTCATGAGGCTGAGCATAATGGTGCACACCCTGCACTTGGCAGGCTGAGGCAGGAGGAACTACAGGAGTTGGAGGCCAGCCTTCAAGGCTACACAGATCTCCATGGTAAGGTTCTGTCTCAAAGAAACAAAAGGGCTGGGGAGATAGCTCAGCGGTCTAAATGTCTGGCTGGCAAGTACAAGGACCAGGGTTGGCAGGCGCACTGTGCCGGTGATGGACACTGGGCATGGTGGTGTACACCTATAATCCCAGCGCTGGAGAGGCTGAGACAGGAGGATCACTACGACTCCAAGCTGCACAGCAAGGCCCTATACCAAATAAATAAAAGATAAAAAACAAAACAAAAACTATCCTAAGGCACTGGTTAGAAATAACTGCTCACTTAACCACTATGTGCCCAAAACACTCCAGAAACAATAGTTGTTCCTGGATAGCATGGAGGTAGCAAATGGCTACCACACTTGAGCTGTGATAAAGCACAATTATTTGTGTCGGAGCCAGTTCTGAATTTTTTTTAAAAATGTATTTGGTACAAGGTCTCACTATGCAGCTCAGACTCATAAAATGATCCTCCTGTTTGTAGCCTCCCGGTGCTGGGATTACAGGCTTGTGCTACCATGCCTGGTCTCTGTGGCCAGCTCAGCGTGCCTAGGGGCGGGGAGGGATTGAACCCCAGTCCCTGTGCTTGCCTAAGCAGGCACTTGGTCCGCTGAGCTATCTTGCCAGCCCTGCCAGTTCTGAATTGATCACACTCGAGGTACTGCCTCCCTTGGAGAGTTCCTCAAGCCTTTCCCTTTTCCTCTCTGTGTCACCCTGGTCCAACTGTAGCTAGCCATTTCCGGTCGGATCTTTTAGAGGGAAGACTCCCACATAGAGGCATTTGCCTCTGCATTCAGCAGATCTGAGAGCAAACCATTCCTAGCCTGGCTCTGTACTGTGCTACAGCAGAGCCTGAATTTCTTTTCTTTATGGTCCTGGGGGTCGAACCCAGCGCCTCTGATGAGCTGTGTTGAAACTGTAATCCTTTTGCCTCCAAGTGCTAGGATTACAGGCATGCGCCGCTACATCCTGTATCCTCAGCCCTTTCTTTTTTTGTGTGTGTGTGTGTGTGTGTGGAACTGGGGATTGAACTCAGCCCTTGTACTTGCCAGTGAAGCGTTTGTTCCACTAAGCCATCTCCCCAGCGCCCCTTTCTATTTTTTTCCCCCCTTTCTATTTTTTGAGACAACATCTTACTAAACTGCTGAATTGTCCAGGCTGGACTCAAACCCCAATCCTTCTGCTCCAGCCTCCCCGAGTGCAGGGATTACTGGTGGGGCCACCTAAGTGGTAGCCCAGGCTTGCCTCAGACTCAGTGATCCTCCTGCCTCCACTTCCTGAGTGCTGGGATTACAGCATGTGGCACCAGGCCTGGCTATGATTTGCTTTCTAAAACAGTGAAGAAGCCAGGGATACAGCCTGCCTTCCGGGTCCCACCTTCTTCATGCCACAGTTAACAAAGGAGCCGTGGCCTGCCCGGGTGGGCCGGTCTACCACGACGCCCTCGCGGAACTCGGTGTCCTCATCCTGCCGCACATGGTGAGGGCTGTCCAGGGGGTTCAGGAGGCCTGGGTGACAGGAGCACAGGAGGCTGAGGCAAGGACCGCTTGTGCCACAGGCCTGGCCCTTTCCTGGGATGTGTGGTGAACCAGAGGGCTGGGTGCTTGGTACCTGCAAACTGGAGGTCCTGGTGCTTGGGGAAGAATGCCTTTCTCAGGTACCTGATGGGGAACACGGGTGTCAGGAGGCTGACCAGCAGACATCTGTGCTGACCACCCTGCCCCCACACACCGGGAAGTCACCATCTTACTGTGGACACTCCAGGTACTGCAGGATGCGGGCCAGCTGCACACATGCCTGCCCTTTCTTGCCAACGCCTCTGAATTCACCCTCCACAGACCTGGAGAGAAACGGCACAAGATGCAGCTGCCAGTAGAACTCAGTGGCTAAGCCTGCAAAGCCCTGGGTTCAATTCCTGGTACCACCAAAGGCCCCTGCAGCAATTACCCCTGTACAGTCTGACCCCTGCAGCCACTGTCCCTCTCCTGGCCCTGTACCCCCTGATGAACAAAGTGAGTCATTTCAGGCCGAGCAGGAGCCAGGCAGCTGGGCAGGGCATCATCTCCCTCTGGCCTCCAATCCCCTGTGGCCTCTTACTTGGCTTCCTGGCCTTCTTCATCGAATACCACGATCTCGTCCACACAGAAGATTGTGCAGGCCCTGGCGATCTGGCCAGCGAGGTAAGTGCGGAGCTCGGGCGACTGGGCGTTGTCCAGGATGGAGCCAGGCAGGGCCACGCTCAGGGTGTAGGGCCGTCCTGGGCAGGGGCAGGGCACCTGGTCAGCCTAGGAGGCCAAAGCCCGCCCCACTCCTTTCTTCTGGGGCCTTGGAGACTTGTTCAACTGCAAGGCTGTGTGTGTGTGTGTGTGTGTGTGTGTGTGTGTGTGTGTGTTCTGTAATTAGGGATCAAACCCAGGATCTTCACTCAGCTACAACCCCAATCCTTTTTACTTTTTTTTTTTTTAATTTATTTATTTATTTA